CAGCAGCAACTAGAACAACAGCGCAAAAGAAGCCAGCAGCAACAAAAAAGCAGCAAAGAAGCACAGCAGCAACTAGAAGCACACGCCAGCAATAAAGCGCACAGCAAAATAAAAAACAGCAGCAGCAACTAGAAAAGCAACAGCAGCAACTTAGAAGCCAGCAGCAACAGAAGCAACAGCAGAATGAAGCACAGCAGCAACCTAGAAGCACAGCACAACTGAAGAAACAAGCAGCAACTAGAAAAACACAGAGCAGCAATAGAAAACAGCAGCAGCAACTAGAAACAACAACAAAACAGCACAGAAGAAACAGCAGCAGCAACTGAAGCAAAAGCAGCAACTAAAGCAACAGCAGCAACTGAAGCAACCAGCAAATAGAAGAAGCAGCAGCAGCAACTAAAGCAAAGCAGCAATAGAAGCAGCAAGCAACTAAACCCACAGCAACTAAAGCGCCAAACAACTAGAAAAGGGGGCCAAAAAATAAAGCAACGCGAAATAGAAGACAGCAGCAACAGAAGCAACGACAACTAAAGCAACAGCAGCAACTAGAAGAAAAAAACAGCAACTAGAAGCAGCAGAACAGAACAAAACAGCAGCAACTAAAAAACACAGCAAATAGAAGGGACAGCAGCAACAGAACAACGCAAACTAGAAGAAACCAGAGAACTAGAAGCAACAGCAGACTAGGCGCCAAAAAAAGCAACTGAAGCAGCAGCACAAAAGAAAAAGCACAAACAACAAAAAAAGCAGCAGCAACTAGAAAAAAGAGACCCCCAAAAGAAAAAAAATAGAAAAAGGAAACGAAGAAAATAAAAACCCAAAGGGAACTGAAAAAAACAAAAAGAAAAAGGAAAAACCCACACACAAAAAGGGAAAAAGGGGCTAAAAACCCCAAAGCGCGCCTTTTAAACAAACCCAACTGAAGGAAAAGGCAAAAAAAAAAAAATAAAAAAAAGAAAATTTTTGAAAAAAAACAGAAAAGAAAAAGAAAAAAAAAAACCGAAACCCCAACTGCAAAAGGAACTAAAAAAAAAGGAGGGCCCAAATAAACACACACAAAAGAAAGGCCCGCAAATGAACCGCAGAAAGAACCACAGTGAAAAACCCCCAATTTGGGGGCCCCCAACAAAAACCCCAAAACCAAAATCAAAAAAACAAGCCTAAAAAAGGAAACCCCAAATGGAACAAAGGAACAGGAAAAAAAAAGCAGCCTGGCCCCAACTGAAACCGAGGAAATAGAAGGCCAGCACAAATAAACGCCCCATGGGGCCCCCCCAAAAGGGAAAAAAAAAAGAGGGGGAAAGGTTGGGGGGGGGTGGGGGGGTTTGGGGGGTGGGGGGGGTTTTTGGGGGCCCACACAAACAAAAAGGAGCAAACACGCACGGCTTTTGGAACAGGGAAAAAAAACCCCAATGAAAAAAAAAAAATAAAAGGGGAAAGGAAGAAAACCCCAAAATAAAAAAAAAAAGAGAAAGAAAAACTGAAAAGCCAAAAAATAGAACAGGCAAAAAAACGAAACCCAAAAAAAAAAGAAACAATAAAACGAAACTAAAGGCCCCCAAAAAAAAGAAACCCCCAAAACCCAAAAAGGGGCCCCTAAAGGCCAAAAAAGTCCCAAAAACCCACTGAACAAAACAAACAAACAGCGCACAACAAAAAGGGGGCCCAAGAAAGCCAATGGGAAACCCAGAAAAAGAACAGCCCCAAACCCCCACCTAAAAAAGGCCAACTGAAAAAAAACCCCAACCAACCCCCCAAAAAAAACCATAAAGGGGGGAGAATGAAGAAGAAAAGGAGGAGAAAAAGGAAAGGGGGGGTGGGGGGGGGTGGGGGGGGAAAAAAAAGGGGCCGCCCGGCAGCAAAAAACAGCAAACGAAAACACAGCAAGAACAGGCACAGCAAAAAGAAACGCAAAGAGGGCAACAAAAAACAGAACCCAAAAAGGGAGCCCCAAAAAAACAGCAGGCAACAGAAAAACCGAGCACTAAAGCACAGCAGAACTGAACAACCAAAAAACAGAAAACAACGAAAAGTAAGCGCCAAAAACAAAAAAAGAGGGGAAAAAGGAAAAGGAAACCAACAACAAACCAAATTTAGCACACCAAAAGCTAAATGGCAACAAAAACCCGGGGGGGCCCAAAATTAAAAAAAAAGGGGCCCAAAAAAAAAAAAGAACCAAAAAAAAAAGAAGGGCCCCAGAAAAAACCCCAAAAGAAAAAAAATAAAAAACCCCGAAAAGGGAAAGCCCCTTGACAATAAAAAGACAGGGAAAAACGAAAAAAAAACGCAACAAACAAGGCCCTAAAAACCCAATAAAAACAACCCAAAGGCCCCAAAAACCCAGAAAAGGGAAAAAAGCAAAAGGGGGGCCCCCAAAATAGGCCCAAAAAAAAGACCCCAAAAAAACCCCAGAAACAAAACCAAAAAAACCAAACCAAAAAAGGGGAAACCAAAAACCCCCAAAAGAGCCCAATAGAAAAACCCCCCCTGAACAAAAAAGGCCGGAAAAAAAAACCCCCCCTAAAAAACCCGACTTTGGAAGGGAGAATTTCCAAAAACCCCCCAAACCAATAAAAGGGGGGCCCCCGGAACCCCCAAAGAGGAAAAAAAGGGAAAAAAAGAGGGGGGGAAGGGGGGGGGGTTGGGGGGGGGGGTGGGGGGGTTTTTGGGGGGTGGGGGGCCAGGGGCGAGCCAAAAAGAGGGAGCAAAACAAAACCCGCAGCAAAGGCAAGCAGCAACGAAGCCCGCAGCAAAAACGCAAAATTAAGAAAGAGGCCCCGCAAAGGCCCAAAAAGGAGCAGCAGCAACTAGAAGCAGCAGCAGCAACTAGAAGCAGCAGCAGCAACTAGAAGCAGCAGCAGCAACTAGAAGCAGCAGCAGCAACTAGAAGCAGCAGCAGCAACTAGAAGCAGCAGCAGCAACTAGAATCAGCACCAGCAACTAGAAGCAGCAGCAGCAACTAGAAGCAACAGCAGCAACTAGAAGCAGCAGCAACTAGAAGCAACAGCAACTAGAAGCAACAGGAGCAACTAGAAACAGCTGCAACTAGAAACAGCAGCAGCAACTAGAAGCAACAGCAACTAGAAACAGCAGCAACTAGAAACAGCAGCAACTAGAAACAGCAGCAACTAGAAACAGCAGCAAGAAACAGTAGCAAGAGCAAGAAGCAACAGTAAGAACCCAGCAACAGCACCACCACCAGCAGCAGCACCACCACCACCAGCAGCACCACCACCACCAACAGTAGCAACAGCAGCACCACCAGCAGTGCCACCTCCACCAGCAGCAACACCTCCACCAGCACCATCACCGGCAGCGGCACCAGCAGCAGTAGGACCACCACCAGCAGCACCACTACCAGCAGCAGTAGCAGCACCAGCAGGATGTACACGTGGACTGGACTCACTAATACAAGTCTGGCTCACAGAGTGAACCAATACATGACACACTCCCACTATCTGGTCCACTCACATGTGATAATGTCTATTATTGCTGTACTGCTGTTTCTTCAGCCGGCTCCATTACTACACTGACCACTAACTTCCTTCCAGGAAACCAAGAATGTTTCTACATCTCAAGTGCTAGTTCTCAGCCCACTCTATGAGCCTCGCCTACTACTAAAGAGTCCTCTCCACACATAACAACATACTCCTCTTCCTCTGGCTCCACTATAATAGGCTCCATTCTCATGTGTGTGTGTATTAGATAATGGTCTTGGTGGAGGAAACAACTAACGATAATGATACTAGGTGCTGCATGTGTTGTACAAACTGGTTGGTAAAAAAGAGTGAGAAAAACTTGCAATGTTGATGAATACGACACTTGTGCAACTATATTGTTGTAATTTTTTGCCTGCACAGCAGGTTTCTTCCGGTGAATACAATGGCAACTTCTATACAGTAGACAGTAAAAGAAGGAAAACTTCGTGGATGTTTGGCTCCTTAGCCTTGATAGGTGTTCAGTTCCCCGGCCTTGACAGCAGGTGTTCTGTCTCTTAATGAACATCAGAGGCATGAGGATGAAGACTTGCATAGCGGAGGCCGAGGTGTGATGCACCACTAGATGGCCTCACAGGTGGGCTGGGAAAAGTCAAAACAATGAACTGTTCAGAAACAGAATAGTGTTAGAAATTATCAAGACGAAGGGACTGAACACCTGTCAAGGTTAAGATATGGAATCTAAAGAATTGCCTCCATTTTTTCTGCAGTCTACAGTATAAAAATCGTCTCTGTATGCGACCAAAGTCTGATGCACAGGTGAATCGTTTCAAAAATAAAAATCAAATCAAAGAAACGTGTATTACAACTGCCTCTTCTTGCAGTGTTGGTGGTGGCAATAGTATAGAATTTATTGAATAATGTAAGAGAGAAAACTTAGTGCAAGTAGCTATTTCTCCCTACAAAACATTTACGACTAATGGAGACAAGTGCCTTAACACGTCATTAATATAGAAAAATGATGATATAATGATCACTTGGCCATAATCGCTGATAAAGTTTCCTACCCACTTATACTGCAAGGGCTGGAATAAAATGCTTCATTAATGACAACCCTTAGAGGGTTCTCAATGTTAGTGAGATGGATTAGCAAGCCAGGCTCAAAAATAACATTCTACGCCAGTATGAAGGAAGCTCCACCAACTTCTTGCCTTGTACATTACCTTCACATCCGGTTAAATATACAGACATTTAGGTGCTTGTAATTTTGGACAGCTTCTGCATTAAACTATTATCACCACAAGAGTAAATGTACATAATGCACTACATTTATGTAAACAACACCATTTTTTTGCATTATATGATAGTAACTGGGCTAAGAAATTACATAAAAATATATAATGTACGATAATATACAAACTCACTCAATGATATTTAATACATCGTGCTTAATGTACAAAAACACTGTTGCATTAACTAAATATCTCAACTTAATGTTTTACTTATTTTTTTACTACAAACAAAAAAATAAGTTTCATAAATTAAAACAACTGTTGTACTTACCCAAACATTAAATTTGACATTCTTATATGCTACAGTTTCAACATTAAATCCAACAGTTGGTATAGTGGTAACAGAGTGGCCCAGTTTGAGCTTGTAGAGGATGGTGGTCTTCCCTGCTGCATCTAGTCCCAACATCAAGATCCTGATCTCCTTGTTGCCGAAGATCTTACTCAATAGTTTGCCCATCCTGCCCGGGGCCCCTGTCAAAGACACACTTTCATCAATGATATTGTCAAAATTATTGATACTAAATTACACACCTACGTAACTTACATTATCCTTGATAATGTGAAAAGTCACGAAAGCGAATTTTATTTCAATATTCTTTCACAGTGGTTGTTTTGTATATTCTGATATCACTGTTTACTGTGATCCTATTGCATAATATATATATATATATTTTAATATATAAAAATAAAAATAAAAATTTTTATAAAATATTTAATTTTTATAAATTTTAAAATACTTTTTATATAAAATATATATATTTTATAAAAATTTTATATTAAAAAATATAAAAATAAAAAAAATATTATAATTTTAAAATTTAAAATTATAAAAATATATATATAAAAATATTTTATATTAAAAATTTATATTATATATATAATATATATATATAAAATAATAAAATATTATAAATATATTATATTAAATTAAAAAATATTAAAAATAAAAAATATAAAAAATTTTATATATATTCTATTTTTATATAAAAATAAAATTTTAAAATATATATTATATATAAAAATATTAAAAATTTTAAAAATATTTATATAAAAATTTATTTTAAAATTTTTTTTATAAAAATTTATAAAAATAAAATAAAATAAAATAAAATATATTTTTATAAAATTAAAAATATTATAAAAAAAAATATATATATTTAAAATTTATTATAATATATAAAAATATAAAATAAAATATTTATATATATAAAAATTATAATAAAAAAATTTTATATATTTATATATATTATTTTAAAAAAAAACAGGGACCTACCCAAAAACAAGGGGCCCTATTTAAACCTTTATTTTAAAAAATGCCTTTAAAAGTTGGGGGAGAGTTTCTGTTTTTTCCAAACTGTTCGGGTTCGGTTCCCCCCTCTCTTTCCCCTTTATTTCAGGGGGCTACAGCAAACCCCCAATTTTTTTGTTTGGGGGAACATGGGAAATTTAACAAAGAGGGGGTTCAGCAGGGGACCCACTTGCCCCACTTCCCCTTGCTTGGGAGTTTAAAAGAACTAAAATTTCCCGCCTACGCAGTGACTCAATATATGGGGACCGGGGGTTTACGGGACTTTGGCCCGGGACAAAAAATCCCCGGGGGGACCTACAACCCCCGGTTTAAAACACAAAGGGGGAAAGGGTTGGGACTCTCCCCAATCCCCCTAAGTTTTTAAAAAAACACAGGGAAAACCCGGAAAATAATCAATTTCTGTGCGAAGAATCCTCCCGGGAAAACTCAAAATACAAAATCCCTTTCCAAAAAGAAACCCCCTTGGGGGGACCGCTGGGGCACCCGGCCCTCCCATACGTCCCCCAGGGACAAAATTTAAAGACCTTATGAGAAAGGAGGAGAGAATAAAACGATTTTTTGATGCCCATGATGCTCTGTAAATTTTCCCCACAAAGGGGGTCTTTAAATTGCCCAAAACTTTACTTAATTCTTTAGGTGTGCACCCTCTTTTGACAACCCAACACTCAAAGGGAAAATGACGAAAACCTGAGATTTAACTTTTAAGAAGGCACTTTAACCTGTCACTAGAGGATGAGCCAAAAAAGGGATCAGGAACCCCCCCCGTGCGACTGGGAGGATAGGGGGGCGTAAAACAAAAGCATTTTTGCTTTACCTGCTTTTCTGTCTTCGGGGTTTTTTGGTTTTCCCGTGCATTAGTCAAAAAAGTTTTGCCCGAAAAGTTGAGGAATTGGAAAGGGGCTCAAGGGCCCCCGGTTTCCCGAAGCAGCAATTCGGTGGGGAACCCTTTCAGCCCCCCAAATAGGGCCCCGCTCCTCCCCAAAAAAGCACCAAAAAAGCCCATGGGGCAAACCGGGTCATGGAAAAAATCGCCAAAACAAAGCTCCTCCAATGCTTCAGGGGAAAAAAACAAAGCTCGTCCCCCTGGGGAGTGAAGGCCCCCCACAATCAGGAGATTTCCTGTTAGCTGTTTTCCCATTCCTCCCTGGGCACCCCTTTTCCCACCCCCCCAGGCCCTTCGGGGAGATTGGTGTTGCTTTTTTCGCCCCAGCCCCCCCATTTCCCCAAACCCAAATTTGGTGAAATTTGCGGGGAGGGCGGGCAGCTGATAATTCGGAAATCCTTGGGCTCGTGGTCACACAGCAGAAGGGGAAATAAAGCCAGACATGGGAGAAACAATGACATTAAAAAAGAGAACCTCGCCCCCAGGGCCCCTTGCCCAGCTCACGGGGAACCCCCAATTTCAGAGGGGCGAGGGAAGGGCAAAAACCCTCCTGAGGAGCCACTATTTTTCCCTGGAAGGGTGGAAAGCAGATTGCCTGGGACTACACCTGTGCTGCCACATTGGCAGACACCTACTTGCCATACTCTGTAGTGGAAGGGGGTGGAGCTGCCAGCCACAGGGAGACCAGAAGATCCGAAAATATGAAGACCTTCCCCTTGCTATAACTTCATTCCAATAGGGTCGGAGACCCTTGGAGCATGGGGCAAGTGTGCTCTAAAGTTCCTCAAAGAGCTGGGTGAAAAGCTCATCACAGAAACCAAGGACCACAGGGCGACCAGCTTCCTCTTTCAGAGACTTAGTGTTGCGATCCAGAGAGGAAATGCCTGCAGCATTCTGGGAACGCGGCCCACTGCAGGGGAGCTGGACGAAGTATTCGAGATGTACCTCTGAGTTACCTATGTTGTTTTACTTTGTATCATATTTTTGTGAATGTTTCGTCAATGTATTTTGTCTTTAAATAAAATATATATACATAATATAGGGGGTGGTAGGAGAAAATTCTCAACAGCTTCAGGGAGAATCTTGAGTTTTCCCTGAAGCAAGTTTATTTTTTTCTCTGAGGATGAGGGTCCCCATGACAGTTCTTTGAGGTGGTACCTCCCTATATTTTATATATATATATATATATATATATATATATATATATATATATATATATATATATATATATATACACCTGTGGATAAAGCTGTGCTATATAAAACACAAACGTGATTTATATTACATAATACCTGCGAATTATGTTAGTTATAGGTGGGTCAACATTCCAGACACATACCACCAGGGTTTATATTATACACATACACATGGCTTTATAATCTTGTTCTTGATAAGAATCAACATTAGAATATATGTGAAGATGTGTCTATATTATATCTAGAGGGAAGCGCTAAATCCCTAGGGGTCACTCAGCACCTTGAGTAATGAGAAGCACACAGGATGGATACAGAGTGGGTGATGGCTGGTTCAGTACCCTGCACAACGAATCCGGCATTTGCCAGAAGAAAACCTGACTTCCACACATCTTCCAGAAGAGTTTCTGATATTGTCTAGCAAGATGATAAATATTACAAGTTCACGAATGTTGATATAATCTCTCACTGTGTCCATGGCAACTCTGCCTCTCACTAATTTACATTTTTTTTGCACCAGTACTGAGCCTACTTGTGCCTTTAAGTTACAAATTTAACTTATTTCGCAGTATTATTTTGTCAAACAAGCTGAACGCTAAAATAACTGTTGCAGGAACTCCGAGAACAAATCTAACCATCACAAATATATTTCATTAATCTTAAATAATAACAAAAAATTAGACTCACCTTCAACAAACTGAGTGGAATTAAGCTATACTGCATTAATACACTAATTTTTGCGAGGTACTTGACACACCTCTTTCCCACCTCTGAAAACTTTCCCCCTCAACCTACCTACTGCAACACTTTCATCACTGCACAGCTCCTGAAGAAGCACTTGCGAAAGTGAAAAAGTCTGGAGCTAGTATTTTCCCTCCCTTAGTACAGGGGTTGGCAAACTACGACCGGCATACCGTATATGGCCCTCTTGCCATGTATTATTATGTCGCCCGCATACCACCAATACCTTTTCAAGAAATTTTGCAAAACTAATTAAAATTTTATTTTCCTGAAAATGGTGTCAAGGTAATGCACCCATATTTATTCCAGAGAACATGTTGCGTTGTGTTTGTCTATGACTGACACAGTACACATGTGGAAGTATCAGGCACACGTTGTCCGTGTGCCTGTGGCACTTGCTCTTTAGCTGCCTCTCTAACAAGTACATTTTCGAAGTTGAAATACATGAAATATCACAAGCGTTTAAAATCAATTTTGATGAGAAATTCTAACTATTAACGTCAATTAGACAACTCTGTTGCAAAAAAAAAGAAACGAATTCCATGTTTTTCACCATGTTTTTTTTTTTTTTACAACTACTGAATCACTATGATATGATCTTCTAAGCACTGGAGGACAAACACAATGACATCGCGGACAAAACGCATACTTAAGGAATAACTGGAAAAGCGAGTAGATAGATCTTTTGACTTTCTGTTCAACAGAACACAGAGTAATAGTAAACAGTTAAGTCAGAGGCGGCTACAGTGAAAAGCTCTTTTCCCGCAAGGTACAGTACTTGCCCCCATCCTTTTCCTCATCCTCATATCCGACACAGAAAGAGATGCAAACCACAGCACCGTGTCTTCTTTTGCAGACGATACTAGAATTTGCACGAGTTATCCACTGAGGACACAGTAAATCATCAAACAGATATAAACGAAGTTTTTCAGTGGGCTTCAAAAAATATGATGTTCAATGAGGACAAATTCCAGCTACTCTTTTAAGAAAATTTTGAGGAATTAAATGCTAGAACAGAGTATAAAACAAATTCTAACCACACAATAGTCCGAGAAACTAATGTGAAGGACTTAGAAATGATAATGTCAGATGATCTCACCTTCAAGGACACAAATGCGAGGAAAATGAGAGAATGGTTAATGAGAACCTAGCAGCCCCTTTCAAGGTAGGCGAAATTGCAGATCTAGAGAACATACATAAGTTCAGTAAAGCACCTCGGTAAAGTTCAATAAAGCACCTCAGTTAAGCACATCATTTACTGGGAACGTTTGCAGTCTCTTGACCAGTATTCCCTGGAGTGCAGGTGAGAAAGGTACAATATAATTTACACCTGGAAAATACTCGA